GGACAGCGACACACTATTTGCATCGCATACAGTTTGTGAGGATTACACGATCCACCGAGAGGCACAGCAAAGTGTTGACTCATCGCGCATCTCCTCCATGTATTTGAACGGGACATACGGAAATTCTGCTATTCTTTATTGAAAAAAAATTCCTTCAACATCGGATTCGAACGGCAAAAGGGCCTACAACACACACCAGCCGACAAATATTAACATTTATTATATTTTATGGTTAACCTTTTCTTTCTTTTCAAGATTGACCGGGGAGGCTCTGCCTCACCTGCCTCCCCTGACCGCACGTCACTGAACACTGACAGTAGTTATTCTGCTAAATGTGTGATTAATTTTGCTGCCAATGCCTTTGTAGTGTAGCAAATATTTCAATGGCATTGTGCTAGAGTTGGAAAACCAAATTGTGCCATACCTTACTGTAAACAATCTGTTACCTATCATCATAAAATATTTTCTTTATTAAAATAAGGCTCAGTGTTAATGGTTGGGACATACAGCAAAGATAAAAATCCCTCAGGTGCCTTTAATATGGAGTAAATGTAGAAATAACTGTATTTTAAAGACTTTTCTCCATGACAGCCATTTTTATTTGTTAAAGAAGAAAAAGCACAAGTGTCAGTAATGAGATTAATGCTGACTTTGTTTCAGTTAGGTTAATGTATAGGTACAATCTGCTATAAATGTTAGACTATTAGTTATACTAAGTCAGCATACACTCAAATTTAGACTTTATCATAAACTGTACACTCAACAATTTATAACAATTTATTTTCCGAGTTTAGGATTTTTTATTCATTTATTTTTAAAAATATTTTTGCTTTCTCTAACATTAGTGTGATTGGTTAAATAAAATTTAAGAAATATTATGAATTAATAAAATAATAAACCAACTGTAAAGGGCAATAAAATAAAAATAATCACGCAGAAATCCTCATTTCCAATCAAAACATATCATATTATTGAACTATAATTATGGATGCATTATTAATGTTGCAGCTGGTAAAAGGTGATCTCATTTTAACTACCTTATACAGTATACATACTGCTGAGTAGCTTGGGAATTTTTCACCAGGGATCTATAAATTATTATGCTTATAATGTATTTTGTCTGAGTGATGCGTAACTTGTGGGTTCATGGGTGTTAACGACTTGAAGATGCAATACCACGCCTGTCCTACAGGTGTCAGTGCAGGCAGCTAGGATGTAAACACTGAGCAGCGGATAAATGACAGTGGCTAACATTAGTACAAAGGAACCTGGATATTTCATTTAGAGGAAACGATTTCGTTCATCATTCTTCCGCTCTATTATTATATTAGGTTTACCTGTACATGATAAGATTATGGTCATCCAGGAACAAAATTAGCGCGCTAACTGTGAGACCAAGCTAACTAGCCTAGGTTCAGAAGACATGAATTCCCTGGTTGGCTACAGAGTGTCCTCGGAGTCTGACAGCGATGGAGATGTCGAGGATATAAGCAACAGAGGAGATGGGTAAATAAGTCCTTTACAGATGTCGTTTACATTTCTTTGATTTTCACATGGTAGAAAATAACACGAGCCTATCTTTCATAAGCTATCTCTCTCTCGTGTCCTAAAGCGATTGTCTTAAATCAAGTCATGCGACTTACAGGATATTCTCTTCCTTTATCCATCTTCAAGTTTTGTCAGCGAGGTGGGTGATGAGGCGACAGCTGTCAAAAAGACCCGGAACTTCTTGTTGGAGTCTGGTTCAGCTTCCAGTGATTCGGGCAGTGAATCAGACCCAGAGGAAAAGAACCCAGACCCCGCTTCATCACCACCACTGTATTCACAAACAGCAGCACCAGCACCTTCTGCAGCCTGCGAGCCCACCGTGCCCGCGCCTTCCCTGGGTTCCCTCACATCGAGTAAACTACCTCCGCCTCCTCTAAATGCCCGCTCTGACAGCAGTGTGTTTACCAACCCTTTCAAGGCTCAGGCAGACAAGAAGCTCAGCACCTTACAGAAACATGTCCCACTCACAATGGAGGCCAAACCCTCCCAGATAGGAGGGAAAAGGATGTGTGTGTCATACAGGAAAGACGGAAGGTGTAGGTTTGGGATCAAATGCAAGTTTGCTCATGACAGTGACCTCCAGACCCCAGCCACTGCCACTGACTGTCATTCATCTGTGAGTGATGAAGCACCAGTGTCAGAACATGCTGAGGCCTACGCAGGTGGTTCATGTGGTGGAGGATCCCAGAACCTCACACAGGAGGAAAAGTCAGAAGGGCAGCAAGTGAAGAAGAGGAGGCCTGGACTTAGTAACACTCTGATCCCCCCTAAACGAGCTATGAAGCAGTACGCCATGCAAAGGGACAGAGAGCGGCTCAATATGTCCTGATAGATGTTTTCTGAGTTATGACACTGTGATGTCCTGTAGCAGTAGGATTGAAACATGATCTCAGTGTTTGTAGGAACTGTTTACTCTGTAGGCTCATTAATAACTCAGGCCTAGTTACATCTAACAGGACAATTATTTAAAACAGTGTATATTTTTGTTCTGCATGCATCAAAAGCCATTTGTAGTGTGGACATGAGGAGCTGGGGGTTGAACCACCAATTGTACTATTAATGGCTACCCCAGTTACTGCATATAGAAAAATAATTAATACTTTGGGTTTTCCCAAAAAATGTTGCCAAACTTTCAATGAGAACACTTGGGACAAATGTTAAGACATTTATTTACATCATATACTGTAAATGAACAGTTTTTGTGTTTGCTCTACACACGTCCTACATCACAAATCAGAGGTGCTGATTTAGTACTGATATGTTACAAAGCTTCACTTATCAAATCATGATTGAAAAGCTATTCTGTGACCAAATGTGTGACTATGCTTGCAGTTATTTGGGGGGGGGGTTTATGTGAGATTTAAAAAGTCCAAGGTCACATTTTATCTGTCTATAATGACCTCAGGCATTTGTGAGTAATACATAAATTATATGGATTAATAGTCTTTCAAAGCCAACCAAGAGCAAAGCTTTAACAGCTGCACACATATCACTGAACAGGTTTAATGGCACTGCCAAGAACTTTCAACAGGCCTGTCTTAACACCTTTTTCCTCTCTACGATTTCTAGGTTTTGAAATGTTTTCCATGTACTTTAAATTGTTTTCAGTTGTATTTGTCTTTTAACCCTTGTCAAGTAAATGTTTTAAAGGAGATCTGGACAAAGATAACTATCTATTCATTCATTCAGCTTTTATATTGGAATCTGTCTATAGCTTTCTAATGTGTTTAACTCATTACATAAATTTATTTGATTTATTTAGGTAGCAACTATTGCTGCCACACACTTGGCATTTCATGTGCTGTATTACTAAGAGGTATGCTATTATTGCATAATAGCGACATCTTTGCAACATAACCTCAGCAATAATACACACACAAAATAGGCTACTTAAGTTCACAGGACTGTTGTGTACAAAAGCAACAACTTACACATACAGACATATACAAACTTTCCCTGATACAGATATTCTAAAAAAACTACCAAATATGACTATGAGTGAACAGCACATAATATATTGGTGATCCTACATTTACCTTAAACATTGTGATACAGTATATTAGGTCACTGATGTTTTCTCTTTTGTGTGCACCATCTTTGTTTCACATCAGGGCCCGCTGCACATGTCTGTCACTGCCGTCAGCCAGAACTTCCCCTTGCCTTGTCTGTTCCCATACCACACCCTCCTCCCCCACCCTGTCTGTCTGCTGGAGGGAACTAGCTGACTGAGAAGAGGATGTGAGCACCGGATTTCCCAGAATAAAGCTGTCCCCACTGGTAGGGGCTGGATCCTGGGACTGGGTTTGGGATGCAGACAGGAGAGGAGGGTTTGGGGTCGCTGTCTGCAGGGTCTGAAGCTGCTGAGAAGTTGCTAGGATAGGGATCTGTTGAATGTGGGTCTGGGACTGGCTGACTGGCTGGAAGGACATTTGTAGCATTTGCGTCTGTGCCTGGCTCTGCTGTTGGGGGGAATATGACTGAAGAGGCTGCAGCTGTGGTTGGTGCTGGGTCACCACTGAGCTGGAATGAAGGGTCAGTTGCTGGATTTGGGGCTGCTGTGGCTGCTGAGTGGCCTGCACAAACTGGACAGGCATCTGCAGCTGGAGGTGAGTCTGTTGTTGGTTGTCAGCCGGGGAAGGGGGGTCGATGGGGGACAGGGCTATTGTCACTGGCACCTGCATGGTATGGAGGCTCTGGTCTTGTCCCAGTAAAACCACCTGGTGACTGACTTGTTGAGGTACATGACCCATCTGGGACACCTGAGCCACTTGTTGCCCCACTTGCCCTTCCTGGCTCAGCGGATCCACCTGTCCATCCTGCCCTACTTGTCTCATGTCCAGGCTGGTGACCTCTGCTTGCATGGGGTTTCCCGGCAGCTCCAGCAGGGAAGCAGGGGTTGTGATGAGGGCGCCGGCGTTGGCTGCCAGCGCCTCAGCGATTAGCACTTCTGGGTGACTCTTGGCCTTATGAGCCACCACACAATCCTTCTTCTCAAACTTCTTACCACAAATGGAGCATGAGAACTGATAAGTGGCATCAGCATCGTGCTTCTTCATGTGCCAGTTGAGAGACGCCTTCTGGCGACAGGTGAAGCCACAGATCTCACACCTATGGGTCGGACGTTGAAAGGAAACATCTTTTAGCGGTCTATGAAAACTGTAAAGAATAAATAAATGTCTAATCTAAGAGAGCAAAGGAACCAAAAACTACATGTGAAAAAGGAGGTACTAACTGCAGGGGTTTCTCTCCTGTGTGGATCATGCGGTGCACAGCCAGGTTGTGGGAGCTCTTGAAGGCACGAGCACAGAACTCACAGATGTAGTCCCTCTGGTCTAGAATCCCAAAACACACAAATATATGCACTGTCAAAAGTGTGAACATGCTTCACCATTTAGTTCAAAGGAAAAATGTGTACAAACTTTTGACCGGTCATGTGTATGTGTTCTCTGTGTACCTTTATTAAGAAAAAATGGTCAGGCACAGATCAAACCTAATGCATACATTATGTATGCACCATATATATACCTGTGTGGTGCTTTGCATGACGCAGCAGCTGCTTCTGTAAGCGAAAAAGCCTTCCACAAGACGGGTGAGGACACACATACTTCTTCTTGAGCAAGTGCTGGTACTTTATATGGTGCTGGGTGTTCAAAACAAAGAAAAACACATGAGAGATTATCACTAACAGCTGGATGTAAAAGCTAAAAGACTGGAAACTGCCACTGAAAACAAGGTTTAAGTTTGTTGTTTAAGCTTTTTTTTTATTCTATTGTGTGTGAACTTTTATGTGAAGTTGGATGAGTTGCTTTCCACTAAGTTATCAGCCTCAATTGAAGCATGTTGTCCAAATAAAAAAAATGCTTCGGCAGTATCTAAACATCTGATGCAGACCCCAGTGTGATGGATAATCAAAAATTCTCCTGTCCCCTTTAAAATGTTCATGTTTGAAAGTTAAATGGACTATAGCAAAGTGTGGAACAGACTTGACAGTGATGGTACGCTACCCTCAGTGGGATGGCGTGATTGCTGAGACAAACCTGTAGATAACGAGGATGAGCCAGGACGGTCCCACATCCTTCCATTTCACAGCGCACATACTGCACTGGAGGCTTCTTTCTGTGTCGGTGAAACATGTCACAAAACTGAAACCAGATATTTAATGGATCTTCATATCTTCACTGATGTCCCATACAGAGTCGAAGTGAAAACAGAACTTCTAGGTTGTGTTCCGGAAAAAAGAAAACCCCATTCAAAAATCCCACTGACATTTCTAATCTGGTTAAGAACTAAAAATCCAGCCTTGGAACGCGGCCGTTTTCAGTAGTATGTTGCGAGTCTCACCATATTTGCATACACTCTAATGATATATTTCTTTAAAATTATGTTTTATTAAAATTATCGCAGTATTTCTGTTTTTGACTGATGAAAAAATAAAGCTAAATGAGAGACTGCATAGTCACTGAAGCTAAGTGGATGTGGCGACACGACTTCGACTCTATATCCATATAATACACACACACACACACACCCAGTGAAAAAGGTGACATGATGAGCCATGAAATTAAATCGTTGATTTCAGACAATAATGTCCTAATACAGATGTCAACTTTACCTTCTCTTTGGCAGCCGTGGTGTTTTGTCATCTTTTTTCCGCCGGCCTCTCCTAATGCAGCAAGAGCAAAGAAAATTACATAACTGTAATATGCAGTGACTACAGCGCCATTCTGAAAAGGAGTTAGCTTGATAACCACACGTTACACTCAGAATGAAGCTGTAATAATACAGTCATAGGAAGTGGTTTGTACTTCACATGCACAGATGTAATAGGAGCACATGTACATTTGCAGATCATCTGTCAATTGCATTTCCTACTCCTAATTTTGATGTGCTTACTTCCTGGGTCCATCTGGGTCCTCCACAACTTCTTCTTCTAGCTTTACTTCCTCCTCCAAATTTTCTAAGTTGTCTGAACCTTCTATCTTTATCTCAGTGACCTCTTTCTCTTTTTTAGGTGCCTTCTCTCTTTCCTTCTTCTCCTTCTGCTTGTGAGGAGCTCTGCGCTTTGGTTTAGGAGCATCCCTAAGAAGAAGAACAGAGAAATACCCAGTTACTAAACCACAAATATGGTGCTTATGTCTATTCATGTCCAAACATGGAGGAAAACACAGCTAATGCACACAAAAGTATTACCCCAACCTCTCCTAGAAAAACAGACACACACACCTTTCAGCCTTCGGGTCATAACTTTGATCATTTAAGTCATCTCTAAATGGAACATCCTCATCACTGCTCAGGCCCTCTTCCTCCTCTACACCACTGAAACCAAAACAACACATTACCCGAAACTGCATTTTGCACTTTCTGTACAAGCTCAAGCGCTGTGCTTGAGATAGCATTTACCTCTGACTCTGTGGCTGGTAGGTGAGGTCGTTTGGATCATCCTGAAATGGAGGGTCTTCATCATCCAACACTGGTTCACCAATATCCTCACTTTCCTCCTCTCTCTTTTTACTGAGACAGCAGGGAAACACAGTGGTCATCAAAAACAGTACCAAGCTCTCATCTAGTCACACACTCGCACAATATACACATAAGACAGTAAAAACCTATGAGATCAATGGATCATAAATATCAAAACAAAATTATATGACAGGTGGCCTCTCTGCTTGGAAATCTACCTCTAGATTGTGTCAAACACAGACTGTTGATAAAATCCTACAAAGAGTCAGTTCACCCAAATCACAAAAAAACACCATGAGGAATTAGACCTTTTGAAATCTGAATAAAATAACTATATAAATTTGATTCATTTGATACATTATGCATTTTCTAGTAGAATACAACTTCAGCAGTGAGGAATACCCTTAAGAATACACTTACATTTCACACTTCTCTTTATTTTTAACCTCTCCTTCCACTGCTGCATAACAGAGGAAAAAAAAAAGACATCATGAGTTTGAAAAAGGCAACTGAAGAACCGTTAGCTGCTAGAAACGTCAAATATGTATAAATTATATGATGTAAAATAGGAAAACAAATGAATACATAAATAATTGTTTAACTGCAGTTTATTACATTCTGTGTAGATGAATTATTGGAAGTAAAGAGGGACCAGTAAAGGACTGCATCCAGATTTTAAACTCAAAGCACTGATACCATTAGACTGAAAATCCACGATCACAACCGATCCATACTCAGACATTCATGGAACCAGATGTCACCAGCAGTTTTTTTTTTTCCATAGCCACTCATTATCAACAGGTTGCTCACCAGCTGGATAGTCCATACCAGGTTCGGTCTTACAAACAGGCTTGGCAGAGCCGCGGACAGCCCTGCCAGAGGGGGCCTTGGCACTAGTCTGGACTGTGGGGCGTCTGGAGGGAAGAGCTGGAACGAGAGGACAGATGCATGCCATCAAATATGCTGTATGCCATTAAGTGGGAGGAATGACACAAGACACATGCCAGCTCTGACATACACAGTGAGTCAGTTGTGCATACATAGAATGAGATTTAACTTAAATGTGGACTTATAGGCAGACTTAGACTAGACTAAGAGGCTTGTTAAGAGCTTTATATGTTATTACTAACATTTCACTTACATTGGTCATCTGCTGCAGGCTTTTTCAGGCTTTCTGAGCTGCAGAACGGAGGAAAAATACTGTGATCTCACATTTAAATTGCATTGTGCAGAGCCAAGTTTCATCATTCATCATATGTCGTATGCATATGACAGTGCACTTGGCATTTTTAACTGCTGGACAGAAATATGACAATTTGTGAAGACAGGTAAGTTCCACTCCACCCTCCCCATCCAGGGATGCAGAGAGGGGAAGAGCTATACCGTAGGCATGCTTTGACCTCACCGACATTAAAACCCAAGTTGTAAGTCTACACAGGTGCAATATAAACTCCTGTAGTGCTCTATTAACTACGACTGTTTAATTAAAAACTTACTCTGTGCCTTGAAGGCTGTCACCTGCGACCCCCCCATCAGGCTCCGTGGAAGCAGCACATTCTGAATTTTTCTTCTGCCTAGAGTTGGGAACTTTCCTACGCTTGGTCGCACCGGTGTCCGGGCTCGGTTCGTCTTCGTCGTCATCGCTCTTGGTATCCTTCAGCCAAGCCGGTACTGCCCTTGTTGACCTGTCTCTTAAAACCCGTCCTGAGCTTTGCGGACTTGCAGCTCCGTTAACGTCTGTTAATGAAGCGGGGACACCGGACCTCCTGCGGCCCGCTCCGCGCTCTCTGAGGCCCATTCGCGGTGTGACGGGCGAACTGGTGGCCGTGGTCTGATCTGCGGCCTTGTCCTCCGGTGGCTCTTCACCTTTATATACATCCTCGGTTCGGTCACCGTCCATTTCCATCACCGTGAGGACACTTCAGCCTACCTCAATTTACTCTTAAAGTCAAGCAGGTTTGAAGTTACTTGCAATGTGAAGACAAACGGACAACATCTGGTTTAAAGACGTTTTGATTACAAGCGGCCTTTATCCAACAGTGAGACATTTTGTCTGAATGCGTTGGTTTCGTCGCAGATTAAATGCATGTAATTATTGATTAGAAATTGAAAACTTTTCTTAATTATCTATTCAGCAATAATCCAATATAATTTTAAAGAAGCAGGTCTATTTTCGCGTTCTTAAAGCTATAGTAAACCTACTTATTCACCCGGGCCTGGAGCGAAACCATTTTGTGCGCTTTGTTGCGTCTCCTTTAAGCCAAATATAAACTGAGGATACGTTCAGGAGCGGCAACGCATTTTAGCAGCTGCTACAATCATCTGGATTTCCCGCAATGCCTTTTGCAGATCAGGCAGGCCTAGCTTTTTTTGTTTGTAAATCTGCAAATACAGCAGCAGCCGCGCAAAGGCAGCGTGCACACGAATAGCTGCCAGGCATCATGGGAACTGTAGTACGAGTCAGCCCAATACCGCCTGGACTTGTATTTTATTACTTAGTGATACAAAATATGAGTGTAAAATCTTGCACACATTTAGCAATGGATTTTAATTTCTGTAGTAATTTCTGTTTAGTTGAATTATGGGGAAATGTTCCATGCATGCTGAATATTTTTCCGGCTGCACATGGTAACACAAAAAAAACCCAGTCAACTTCAAAGCTATTTTTTGTAGACTAGTCTATATTTTAATTTCTAACCTTGTTCTGCTAAATAAGTAGAAATGAATGACATTATTTCACTCGGACTACATGGTAACTTGAACATGTTTATGCATTTTCAATTCATATTTTAGAAATACTAAATGTGTCTCCTAAAATACTCTGCAGTGATGACTGTGGAGCTAACATGGCTGCCACTGAAAACCTGCACTGTCTACTCTGTTTTGCTGCAGGCTGCTATGATGACGTGTATTGCCACCAGATGGCAACATCATCCCATATATTATATTGTAGTCACTTCTAACAGCATACATTTTCCAACCAGGCTGGAAATGTAAGTTTTCCTGCCATTATTTAGAATGATAATGTATGTGTGGTGATGTAGCCTATTTATTAAATGAGTATGTTGGAGATAATATTCCTGGGAAATAAACTCACTCTTGCTTCTCGTCAGAGGCCTTAAGGTTTTTATGAATTATACACTGATCATGAATACATTGGTGAAAAAACCACCATGAGGGACTGTAGTCAACAGGCACCCTTTGAATACAGTTTCATACCACTGAGTGAATTGCCAAATATGAAACTTTTTTTTACCATTCTTAGTTGATTAATTACAGCCCTGTTCTGAGAAATAAGCCTCTTGCATGTATAGAGCATGATCCAAATCAAAGTGTTTATGTGTTTAGAACATGATCTAACAAATCCATTTTTATGGTCTAATAATGATATCCTAGTGATGCTGCTATTAAAACAAGGTTTAATATTAATGGGGGAGGCGACTGCGTGGTGGGTAGAGCAGTTGTCTCCCAAGTGGAAGGTTGAGGGTTCGAATCTCGGTGCCTGCAGTCCATGTGTCGAAGTGTTGTCCCCCCCGATGGCTAGAGTCATCAGTTGAGTTAGCGCCACAGATGGCTGCCTCGGTTCTGTACTGGAAACAAATTCCTTGTGTGTAACATACTTGGCCAATAAAGGTGACTATTAGTATCAATACTGTGGCTATTGATAGTTAAGTGTGACCTGGCATCACATTTTAATGGTAAAACAGGGGACTGGTTAAGCTCCATGTTCCTCTTGCACATATTGTGCTGCATAACGAAGGCGTCTTATGTTCTTAAAATCCTCCCAGAACTCCTTGGTGGGGTACAACATGTTTCTAGAGTAAAGTTGACCTGCCACAGAGAAGTTTATGAAACATTCTCCAAACACTGCTCCCTCTCTTCTCTCTGCCATGACACGTTGCTTAATAATAGCTGATGTATGAGATCAAGGATGGGTTTCCATTCACAGAGGTCAGAGCCCACTGCCTCTGAGCCTTTCAAGAAACTCATGACCCTTTTAGCACTTCCACAGTTATGCAGTTTAATCTAAAACTAGTTTACAGAGTTTCAGTGTGTTGGGACACAAGGGAAAATATAGACATACAAATGAGTAACAGTACCACATCCTTTTGAAAATGCTTTATTTATCTACTTTATCACTATAAATATAAGAATGCCATACAAGCTTTTTTTAAGCAAACCTTCAGATAGAAAATAGGTTGCACAGGTGTACAATACAGCAAAGCACATTTTGGCAATAAGGCACACACTAGGAAGAGTTTAAATGGTGACACCTATATTAAACTAGGCATACGTAGCTCGACACCACTGACACAATGAGCTCGTCCTGCTTTTGAGTACAATGCAGGCAATAGAAAGTAAAGCAGGTGCTTTGAGTGGGAGGCAGAACCAGAAAGATGCAGTTTTCTGCTAACACAGCACTGTTAAACCATGAGTAGACCTTGGATAGCTTAACCAAAGCTGACATGCAGAGTTGCTACACCAACAGCTCAAAGTGCTAATAGGGTGTAACACCACAGTCTGCCAGGTTCTAGTCTTGGTTGTTGAAAGTGATAATATGTAGCATGAAGATTAGACCTTTGTGTTCCCACTCATGACACCAAATCCAGTTCAAAATAGCAAACATAATATTACACATAACAAAAACACAATAACCTTGAATCTTTAAAAACTATTGGACACTTTGGCAAAAGGTTTCTTTTTCTAGTTTTGTTAAGATGACTTTTAAATCCCTAAACAGGCTGTAAATAAAAAAAAAGTTCTAAAATATATTATACCTTTTTTCTCACTTCATACATAACACATGTAATGCATATATTAAATATATCCTGACTTATAGTCGTTATGCAAGAACATAATAATTCGGTTAACAGCAGTTTGTTTTCAAAGTCAAATCCAGTTACAGTGGGGAGAGAAGTACCAAAAAGGAGAGGATGGAGTGAGATGAGATTTGTACGAGTTATCCATATTTTCAATTAACAATAATTTATCACAGTATGAAAATCCAGACCATCCCCAGAGTCAGCCTCATCATATTGTTTTGTGCTGGATTACAAATACAAGCCAGCATACAAATATTTTGCATGTTGTGGAGTGTGACTTCATGATAAGCAACAGCTTAAACCCATAATGTTTGTGTGCTGTAGTACATGCATGCGTGGCTACTTGTATAGTTTATTGTGAGGTAATGTTCCCATTATTCCCAGTTCAATATTAAACTCGTGTTCCACGCATAGCAGAATTTTGAAAGTGCCTGCTAAACATTCATAAGGGTTATTTAATGTTTTATTCATGAGGAAAAACTGTCACACATACAGGTATAGACATTGCAAAACACCAGCAATCCCGCTTCACACATTAATTCATGCAGTATTTAACATCTCTTCATCTGACAGTGGCAATCTCTTGCCTTTTATAAATAAGTGCACCTTGGTCAAGCAAAGTTTGAAGGATGAGACATGAAGAGGATACAGACATTATGGAGTGTTACTGCAGGAGCATTCAGAGACCCCAGGAGAGAGGTAGCCTTGTCACATCTAACTGCAGAGACCAAAACTCTCTCATCTCACCAAAACACTACTGTAATACCACAAATCTGGTTCACTAGAAACATGAGTGGAGAAGACCGGTGCTGTGCACAGATCTTTTCCTTTTTTTGTGCCAACCACAAGGGCTTAGCTTTGTTATGAAAGGCACTGTGAAAAGCACAGAGTAGTGCATAGATGCATACAGTATATAAGGCACTGTAGTCTGGCCCAGAGAATAGTTCTAATGTTACGAGACTGGAGTGTATATGGCCTTATGTTTTTAATTAGCATTGGCAAATGCAGGAGCATCTAAGTGACAGAGTGCTCCAGTTTTTATAGAAACATGTCTGTCATTTCTGTCCATATTTGTTCACCTTTCAAGAGTCATAAAGTTAAAAAACAACAATAAAGATAACATAAATGAGAAAAAACATCTAACTTCTGTTCAGTCTTATTCCCAGTTTCAGAGAATAGGAAACATCTCCATGTGCATGATGACACTGTCTGTTAGGCACATAGATAAACCACGTTGCCGATCAATGAAAATGTTTTTCAGGTTTTTTTTTATCTCAATTATTTCTTCCCCAAGAAATCTGTGACAAAAACATTATTTAGCTGGCAACATTTCTTCAAGCAAACCAAGATGTATTGTGTGTTTTCAAAAGAAGAGACATAAAAACAAGCAAACAAATTATAGGCAAAAAAAAAAAGACTTCGAACCTTCATTTTAAGACAACAACAATAAACCAAAAAGTACCAAATAGGTGTGTTTGAAGCAGACACATTCAACCAGCATGGACGGACAGCATCACCTACAGCATGTAGAATTGGCTAGAATACTATTAATGACAAAAATACTAAAAAGAAAAAAAAAGTATATGCAAAGACTGCTGTCTTCAGTGGAATCCTCATTTGTCAGTAGTTCCTGTTGTACTTTTACTTCCTTTCAATTAACTTTTCTTTTTTTTCCCCCACATTTTTACATTCAATATTTTTAGACATAGTTTAAAGGACTGCCCCTCCTGCTTAAGAGAACAAATACCGCACCGACTTATAAAGAGACACCTGCAGAGAATAAAACCTTAAATATGTATCGTCCCTTCATAAATACTGGAGGGTACCTTCAGTGTATCTGTTGCAATAACAATAGTGTGGCAGGGGTCAGAGTTGTCTTTGTGCTATTATTGTGAATTATTGTTGTCATCGCATTAAGGTTGGTTTCCTCAGTAAGAGGAAATGGTCATATAGGTGTGCTCTAATATTCATCAGAAAAACAACAATGCTGCATAATTAAACCTGTCATATCTAGGGTCCAAGCTACAGTATACTGAGGGCAGGAGGTTGGACAGATACAAGATATCAGGCTGCTGCATTCTGAATATTTGCTTCAAACAACATTCCTTTAGAGCTCTTGGACATTTACAAGTTCAAGAGATGTTTCTATATGATGGGACAGATACTGCTCAGATGTCGCAGTGGTAGTTCAGTCACAGGCAGAATAACTTTGTCGCGGTTTCATTTGGTCTAAGCCTCAGAACTAGTATGTCTGGTAGACATCATGGATGGGCAGCTGGAAAGCTGTGACAGGGAAGGACTGTGGCACAGCGTAGCCCGTGTAGCCCCCATATGCTGCAGCCGCCACAGCTGCGTTCTTCTGCAGAGCAGCCAGAGCTGCTGTGTTGGCAGCATAGTTTGTGATGGGGACGTATCCAGCTCCATACAGGCCTCCGGCTGTTGGGATACGCTGTACATTGTGGGCAACGGCATAGACAGGAGTGATTGGACGACCCTGGGAAATGTAGACAATTAAAAAAATGAGGGATACAGTGAATAAAATAATTTCTAAAACACTGCCTCAATGATTGCTCTGAATATACCCAGACTTTACTCATTGTCCTCTCATTTAATTCTTTTTTTACCATAAAAAGTCCAAGATAATGTTCCCCTAATACAACTACTCTGTCATATAATATAAATATCTCTGACCCAAACTAAAATCCTTGGTATTTGAAATACAAAAAATACAAGGTAATGTAAAAAAAAACTTTTGTAGATATGAAGATTTATGTTTCTTGTAGGTTGTTGCACATTTTTTGGTTACTTGAAGTAGCCATCATTTCTATTGGTTATAACATGACCAATATTTTGCAGTAAAATCTGTTCTCTTGTTCTGCTGCAGCAATTTTGACATGGGACATTTTACATTTGGACATTTTTGAAGTTGGATATTTTTACATCTTTATGAGCATTAAAACATTTGTATGTGTCTGTGAAAATGTCATTGTGCACACCTGGAAAGGTGGAGGGGTAGAGACCTGCGGTAGGACAGTTGCAGCAGCAGCGGTGGTATGTTCAGGGTGTTGAATGGCCAGAGGGTTGATAAGGTGCTCGACCGTGTGCACCTTCCCCTCCTCCATCAGCTTGGCTGCAGGAGCCGTACTAAACATTGGGTACTGCCCACCCAGAGTCGGCAATGATACTGAACATAGAAAGAACACAAGAATGAAAGCTTGGATAACAGACTGGAGCAGTGCAAACAGCAAAACAAAGCAAGAAATGGTTAGTACACACAATGCACGAGATAATAAGCACATACATGCACCAGTGACACAGATTATCTATTAAAGGAGTGAGGAAAACTAATGTACATAAAAGAGAGAAAGGATGAAAAATACAATTTAGATAAGAAAGGAAAAATAATAAGTTGCACAAGTTGGCACTGGAGTGTGATTCGGATTATGATGGTGCTCAACCGTGGATTAACCCCAGTGCTCCAACACATACACACACACAGGAACATACACACATGTAGAAGGAAGACAACATCATTTATTGTTTCAGATGGATAAAAGACTTTTCAATCTGATGGTGATCCTGTGATTCCAGATTAGGGTCAAGTCCTTCCACAAGAAGTACCAAGAAAGTTCACTTTACACAATGGACCTCTGATCAGTATAGACAGTAATAATGGGTAGTTTAACATAACATTTATATATATACATATATATAAAACAGCCAATCTGGCAGGTTTTATAATGTATACAGTAACTTGTAACTGTGTTTAGTAATGAATTTGAAGATTAAAAAGTGTAACCAATGTGTGCAGGTCTATTTTGCATTTCTGTCATTTAGTTCTACCTTTCATTCTTGTAGAGTACAAGAACATTTGTGAAACTTTGAGTTTAGAGGGTCCGTCAACATAAATATGTGATCTTATTTTCTGTGATAGTTTATGTCCTTATATGACTTGGGCTTTTTCTTCTCATTCCTTTCAAATGCAATGGTTTTGCATTTCTCCTACTTACAGTACTGTCAAGGAAGAACGAAGGGGAAAAAACAAATAATGTTCCAGGAAATAACTTTTCAACAACAAGCCACCTTACAACCTTGTTGCCACATTCTTGTTAGCTGAGACAGTTAATGTTTTGGTATTACTGGGTAGATGTAAAACAATCACATTACACACAAACTGCATTGCAGAATGACCTTGACTGTGGATAGACAAAATATATCCACCTATTTAGCAGTAGATGGGCTGTAACCCTACATAACACTGGTATACAGATATGATAAATATCAAAATAGGGTGGACACAATAGATAAGAGGAGACAGTTTTGCATTTTAGCTTCATTCTTGACTGAAACTGTTGTAAATGCCAACAAAACTAAAGCAACAGTATGCTTTTTCAGCACTTACTAAAAGAAAAAGCCAAAGTACTGCTGACCATATTTCAGTAAAATGTTAGAATTGAGTGCATGTGTAAAAGGAGAGTGTGGAAGCACTGGTCCCCACATCCGTGTTCACTCAGACAACAGCACAGGATTAAAACGACATGGCTGCCTTATTCATTTTGATAAGCCCACTGAACCGGGGTGACATGTAGTGTCACCTGTCAAAAAGTGAACGTTTGCCTCAACAGAGTGCAACGTCTTCTGCAAAGTAATTCCAGGTAGATTATTTGTAAAGTGATTGGGATATTCCTACTCTTTATCATGACGAATGGTAAAATGAGGGATGAGTCCACAACCTTAAAGAACTGTAACATTCTTCCTAAACAAGTCTTTTATCACTGTGCAGTGTTTTTGGCATCTGATAGATCTTCGAGTGTCCTGGATGTCTTACTGAACTTCCTGAATCACATTTCACCAGTAACTAAGCCAACAAAGCAGCCCCACTGAATTATTTTAACACAGTGCTGTTTTAAGTCTAAACACCCAGTTGAGACAAATCTCTGATACAGATTAAAAAGGAAAGAATGAGGAACAAAGCATAGCAGTTACTTTCTGGTCATGCTAGAAAGGACATATTATTCTTTACTGTAAAGACAAAGGGAAGTCCTTTTGCACATAACCATCCAGCAACAACCACTACTTTGATTTCCAAAAAGTTCCTCAAACCACACAGGAATGACAGCCAGAAAATTATGAGCTGGAAGGTTTAGTAAAAGTTTTGAAGAGGGGAGAGGAAATGGATGGATGGATATGTCTATCTCACTGACTTGTGCCAGGTTTGATGCCAACTGGGTTGACAGAGGCAGCAAGCTCCAGACTGGGCATCAGCTCATAGGGCTTTTCAGGCTGCTTGGTCTTGCCCTCATGGTAACGGCTGTAGATGCCACGACCAGCAGAGTAACCCCCCAGGTACGACCCCCGTGGTCCAGGGGTACGGTTACCTGCAGCAGCACGACCACGACCTCTCACAGTACCTGCTTAAAATACAGTTAAAGTAATATGATGACAGGGGTTGTGGTTTAGCACTTGGGCAACTGGGGCAACTGGGGCAACTTGTACTGAAGGTTGTGTAGGGCAGCGTGTCAGGCAAGATTTTACAATGAGTTCAGATCTTCTCTGATATCAGATATCAGAACCTGGGTAGAGTGAGAGTCATTTAGCTCTAATTTAAGGGAATAATGTCCTCACAAAGTGCAGGTGCTACTGGTATTTTCTCATCATTATACAGTATCAAGATCCTTTAGGTCCAGTTTGACCTCTCTTGAGCCCTATTAATGGCAGTGTGAAATGGTATTCCAGGACATTTGTAGCTTTGTTTTAAATCTCTGTAATAACCCAGTATGAAATGGGAGGTGACAGTGCAGCAGGAAAAGGATGGTGTTAGAAATGTCACATGGTAAGAAAGCTCATTGTTCATTGAAGAAATAAGTAGGAATAAGGATGTGAGAGATTACCATTGTTCTGTATCATTGGGGATCCTTTGGAGAGAAAACCAAAACACAATGATTGTTGAAAGGCAAATAGATTTTCCTGCTATCACCCAAAGACCATATGTAATCAATCATCAAAGGTAATGGGATTAGCATTCATTGGTGCATCACCTTGTTTTGTCTTCTAACAAATCTCTGATTTTAAGTGAAAACACCTCATCAAGTTAAAGATCTTTAACAACTTTTGTCAGCTGAAGATTAAATCATTATTATCTCAATCCTTTAATAATCAGTTCCCTATTGATGGTGTGTTTGTCATTGCTCCTACAATAGCATCTTCTGGATGTCATTATGAGATCTTTAGCAGCGCACTGGCCCAAAGAGTTTCTGCTGCCACTAACATTTATAAAAATACTGTGGCTTTTGCAGCTGATAATTACTGGAACAACAACAACAGAAAAAATGAATTCTAACCTTTGACAAAGTAGTCTCTGTTGGGTCCAATGAGGGTGTTGTAGGGATAACCATAGTAAGCCAATGTGTAGGGGTCACACTGATATACGTAGCTCTGTTGTGTAGCCTCTGGAGTGGCAGAAGCTCCCCCCTTAGAGGCCTTTTGACGCGAGTACTGCTCTTTATCAACTGGCTTGGCGAGTGTCACCTCGATGCAGGACCCCTCCACCTCTGTGCCGTTGAGGTGGTCCATAGCCTGGACTGCATCATCCCGAGAGGTAAAGTGGACGAATGCATAGTCACGGATTTTCTTTACACGTTCAACACACCCAGGGTTCCACTGGCTGAACACCTAAGTTGACAAAGAATGGATAATTTTAGCCTTGCTTGATTTAACAGTGTGACCAAGACTGGCATGCTGCCTGTTCCTCTCAGTATCAGTTTTATCTAAAGAAGTCATGCATAGTGAAAACTGTAAACTGATCAGTCAACTAATCTCACCTGTCTAATTGTCTCTTCGCTGGTCTCCATCATTAGATTCCTGACATAGAGGATTTTCACTGTCTCCATCACGTCTTCGTCCACGTCAATCTCTGGCTCAGCCCAGTCCACCGCGATCTGGTGACCCCACAGCTGAATACGGCCAGGCATCAGTTTCCTGCGAGCCATGGCGGCTGCACGATGCGACTCATACTCTACAAAGGCGAAGCCACGGTTCTTCATCTTGTCTGCGGCGCTGGCATAAACTATGACATCTAGTACGCCTTCTGTGACTTTAGAAACCTCCTCCAGAATCTCCTCACGCTTTTTGGTTTTGGGGATGCCACCAATGAAAAGACGGCAGTTGTCCACGGAGGAGCACACCCCCAGGAGCCGTCCAGGCCGTACCTCATAGTTGTTGAGCTCTCGCACGGCACGTTTGGCTTCATGTTTCTCTGTGTACATCACAAATGCATACCCTCGGTTCTTCCCGTCAAAGTCCATCATCAGTCGCATCTCATATATGCGCCCCACGGACTCAAACACAGGGACAAGCTCATCCTCATAAACGTCCCGTGGGATTTTGCCCACAAAGATTTCACATCCCCGAGGAGGTGATGGACCACTCCAACCAGGAGGAGGGCCATATTTACGCTGACCATTTTCCTGGACCATGCTGTAGCTGGTGCGTTCCATCAGAGCCACCAGTGCAGCCTCGTTGACAGCACCTGCAACACCATCAGGGATGCTGATCTGTCCATGGAGAGAGTGATGGGGGGCATCAGTGGGGGGTTTGGAGGGCGCTGCGTTGTTGTTCATAGTCGAGGAAGAAGCAGGATCTTCTGCTGTCATTCTGACAAAACCATCCAATTAGATCTGGGACCTAAGGAGGGAAAAGGGGCAGGTTTATTAAATTACATTCAAATGTATTAACCACAACTGCAATACAAGAAAGAATAGGAAGCACAAGGAGGAAGAAAAATTTGATAAAAGAGGTTTTGCTCAGAAGGTGCCATTTAATCCACAACAGACCAGAATATGGCTGCTTGGGGAAACAAAATGTTAAACAATTTTGCAGACACAATGACACACAAGGCTAACTATCTAACAAACTAACCACACAGCAGCATTTATAAATGCCTGGGGCGCCTTCCCCTATCAGCAGATTTTACAGCATTGTTTTGCTGAGTTCCTCAAATCTTTTGCTGACCTCTGACCCCTATCAGAGAAAATAAAATGCTGTAAACCCTGAAAACTCCAGCTCAAGGTTCACTGACGACAACTGTCACATGCCCACTATGAGTGTATGTATCAGAAGTATGCTATACAAGCTGGAGTCAAGCTATATTTGACATTCTGTCTAAAATATGACTCCACATTGTGACAATAATTAGTCATACATTCATTCACCATGGTGTTGCACTGTCCACCTCCTAATCAATATGAATGTTATACAGTGAATGGAGGCAGCCTCATGCATGTGTTTGTGTCTCTGTGTGCACCACTTCATTAAGGGCTGCAGCCCTATAGGTGGAACACAGAACAATCAGAAATCAGCTTCCTGTGTATAAACCTCTTATTCTGTTATTTTTTAAACACTGCCAGCATTCAAAATGGAAAAAATCCACAGAATTTTAAATCCCCAAATCTCTGTGCTGCATAAAACACCAAAGTAACCAGTCAGACATATGAAGCAAACTTCTTTTGGTCAAATAAGCATCATGTAAGTGAACGGGCCAAAGAAAAAACAATCTTTTGGTAGTTAGGCAGGCAGTGTGTGTGTGTGTGTGTGTGTGTGTGTGTCCTACGTCACAAGTTTGCCTGGACTTTGATGAAGATAGGTGAGGCAGTCAACAAAGGTAAAACTCTGGAAAGCCAAGCAACCATGGTAACTAGCACACTCATTTGACCTGACCCACTGTACCACCCTCCACACCCACACACAAACACACACACACACACACACACACACACATACACACCTGTTCAGCTGTTAGTTTGCCCAAGACTGAATGGTTTAAAATTGCTTGCTAGCTCATATGTGGTCCACAGAGGGATGAAAATAATGCAAATATCTGGTCCATAGAATAAAAATATCTGCTTTAAATATCACCAAAAAATGACTGAAATGACTAAAATCACAAATTTAATGTTACATTTCTGGTTAAAGTAAACTATTATTTTCATCTATTTATTGGTATGTACAAACAAGAGAAGGGAAATAAATAGTAAATAGTCTTATAGCGCTTTTCTATGCAGGGAAGTACACAAAGCATTTTAACAGGGGTGGAAAGTAATTAAGTACATTTACTCAAGCATTGTACTTACATAAGTACAATTTTGAGATATCTGTGCTTTAATTGAGTATGCCCATTTTCTGCTAATTTATATGTTGACTACATTTTAGTAGAATATTGTACTTTGTACTCACTATATTTATTTGATAACTTTAGTTACTATTTACTTTTTTTGAATGAGATTACTAAAACAAAATACAGTATAATCAAAAGACGTTATCAATCCTCTATGGAAAATTCACAAGCTACTCAGTAGTATATCAAGTATTTCACATTATAAGTATACAAGGTTTTAGCTTTAACAGCTGCAACATTAAATGGAATGTACACAATAATACATCAATATTTATAATCCAATAATATGACATACATTGTTGTAAATTGTACCATTCTGCATAATGAATACTTATACCTTTGGTACTTTAAGTATATTTTGATGCCAATACTTTTGTTCTTTTACTTAAGTAACATTTTGAATGCAGGGCTTTTACTTATAACAGGGTATTTTTACACTATGGTATTGTTACATTTAGTTGAGGAAACAATCTGAGTACTTCTTCCACCACTGCATTTTACACTATTAGCCAATTCACCCACTCATATATGCAAACATTCACACACCAGTGATGTCACCGGGGGCAACCTGGGGTCCAGTGTCTTGCCCAAGGACACTTTAACATGTAGGCTGGGTAGCCAGAGACAACCTACTCTACCTCCTGAACCACAGCTGTCCCCCAAAATACAGGATGTTGTTTTCTGCTTCTATCTTTAGCCAGTAGTTGGCTGCTGTATTTTGACATAGGTCAAGATGACATTAGCTAATATACAAACATCCATTTTGACAAAATCATGGGGACCTTGAATATGTAGGGATGCACTCTGATTCTGCCCAGTGAGGATGCAGTTTTCTTTATTGCACAACAAATATAAAACACTTTTTAAAAAAAAGCTCCCAATATGTTGCTACATTAAAACATTTTTTACTTGCTTTTGTTGCTTTCCCATCTCTGCTTCATCAGCGTAACGTGCCCTCCCTCTGTTCCTTTTATCGTGTGAAGTACTTACATGACTCCATTTCTTATCATTCTTATCTTGCCAGACTGATGACAAAGGGAGGACAATATTCACTTTGGGAATTCTGCTTAGTGATAAAAAGAAACTATGTGACACTGTAAGGGCAACACTGTATAAAACTGTATTCAGGGTGAGCCTCTTTTTAAAAAAAAATCCCTTCTCTGGATATTGTATGTCTAAGAATTTGGTATGTTCAGTGTTCAGTCTTAATGCCAGGTAATCTACTTACTGCTTTTGACCACTTGGAGCTGTTCCTAACTGTTGTGCTGAGGTTGTGCTTTCTGAGCAGAGAGTCAGGAAATCACTACACATAGAATACCAGAAGTGAAGTAAAACTGGTCTGTTATAGTATCTTTTCATTTCCATAATTAAAAAAAAAAATCTGACCAGTGAGTGTGCAAGATGCTTGAAAACTCGTGAATCTGCAATCATCACCTCTTAGAGAGCTCAGACCGTATACATAGGTTTATAACAACAATGCGTGTGTGTGTGAGAGAGAGAGCAAGAGGAAGAAACCTGAGGTAGTTACTGATAAATGATTAACCCTGGTGAAAACAAATCACAGCCTTTACTCACAGTGAGCATAAAGATTTACAGATGATGAGCAAAAAAACCCTAAAATTTACATTTACATACAGTATGTTCTTATGCCTTGAACAACAGGAACATCCCGCAGCCATTAAGTAAAACATAATCTACACAGGCATTTGGAGCGCGGACACTGAGTTCACCTGGTCAAAGGTTATGAACTCAGGAGGGAAGGACCAGCTAGCCTGCACGCAACAAGTGAAGAAAGTTAAAGAGCAAGGATTTCACTGGGTAACAAAGCCAATCTGCTGGGTTAAAGTGTTCCAGCTATTGCTGGTGAGATTGCCTATTACACTGTGTTTATGATTGATAGAAGCACCTGATTCTCTACGTATTAACAGCACGTTATCAGAGCCTGAATTGTTTTATGAATGGAAAAAAAGGCTTTTACATGCTTCTTCCCACATCATGCTATGAACACAGATTGACTACTACTGGTGGAAAATTCCATATTTTTCCTTAAAAAGCCAAAAAGCCATGGCATTAGTACAGTGTTGTTCCTCACAGCTAGAAAGAGGAAGAACCCAATATTCTTTATATCACTGACCCGACGTTAAATCAACACTGCCGTCATGTTTTATCTCAGGAGAATTTTTAGTTCTTGTTCTGTAGATTGTAAGACAACAAATCTCAACAAATCAAATTTTGAGTCCCACTTTACTACAGATTATAGAGCAAAAAAAACCCATAATATGTTTAGCAATTCTATTCGAGTAGCACTGATCCAGTGTACTGAAGAAAACAGGCCAAAGGAAGCCACCGTCTTAACTGTATGCACACACATGGACACATGGAGACAAATGACTCACAGTGTCCACCCAGCAGCCCCTAACAACAGGCATCGGAACAGGACCAATGAAACACCAACTCTTAATGCCATTCAATAATTCATAACACACACCCAATAGATAACATTTCTGCAGTATTATGACTCATGCTAAAATCATTTAAGCCAGCCTTCAAATCAAATAGAGATATATAACTGCTAAGTAATAGTTTTTACAGCTTTCACCACAGTTTGAAGTCATACAATCTCACTAAAATATAAGGGATCAGAGAGAGGGAAGTGAGACTGAAACAGAGCAGAAATCTTGAGAAAGATCCAACTGCAGAGGGATGGTGGTGGAAAAGAGAAGAGGAAGGAGAAGCAGAGCGGTCAGATGGGAGGATATCTACTGTACCTCTGTTGTTTCACAGTGCTGCGCTGCTTGGCCGCCTGCTCTGGGAGTGTTAGTCCACCTCCATGAGAGACAGGTACAGCAGGGCACAGAGCGCGGAGGCCAGCCTCCTCAACATACACACACATGCTGAACCAAAGCTGCAAGCATGAGAGCTGGTAAGGGCGGAGCTAAAACAGGTACTTAGAGTGAGAGTGTACTGGACAAATCCCAGCCCCACTTTTACAGAAATGTAAAGTTTTTTGTGTTTGAAATACACTTACACAAAATATGTGGTGGAAAATTATTAATTAATGAGTCATTTATGAAGTTGTACTTTAACACTGTAGGAAATATTGAACTTTTTAGTTACATATAGTTACACTTTGTTGCATTTATGTGATGTTACTAGTTTCTTTTTTTACATGTTATATTTTTATGTAACATTTTAGATTTTGTGTTTAAAAAATATGATCATTTTATAAAAAATAAAACCAGTGTATCAAAGACACTGTCTAGTTGTGTGCAAGTTGTTTCTATGAATTTCATCAAGAGTCATTTCCCCTCTGAACTTTTCAGATAGTTGCATTTCAAGATCTTTGAGACGCAAAGAAAGCAAAGATTAGAGGAAAGTCCAAAATACCATTTTGTATGGATGAATTTTTTTTCTTTATTCTCCTGTTAATTATCTTACAACCCCTTAGATTTATGTTGTGATGCTTTGAAGGTGTCCCAACCCCTAACTACCTAACTGTATATAAAATAAA